ATTCTTCCACCAAACAATGTAGTTCCTCAGAAACAGTTGTGGTTCCAACAAAGTGGTGGCCGAGCAACACACAGAAGTAAACGTAGGTGTATGTTTGTAGTGTAATTTACAACCGCTTCGAACGTGGCTCAACCAATCAGAATCAAGGACCGGAACTATCCGTTTTATAATAGTGAATTATAACCAATAGCAGTGAATTAACCAATAGCAGGAGTTTAGGGTAGGACTATTTGTAATAACCCATTTAGCAGGGAATTGGCTTATTTTTTTCGAATGAACAGAGGGTGGAAACTCGTTATTTTCAAATCATTAGTTTTGCAGTTCTGTTGAGTACCAGTAGTGGTATAGAGATTATACAGTACACTTCACCTTTAATTATATTAAATATAAATTTAAAATGATAAAGTGAAAGTATGAATGCTAGCAAACATTTCAAATGATCAACCGGCTTCGACCGTGACAGTGTTACTAGCCTTTAAATGAACTTAATCACTCAGTTTTGCTTTAGTTGACTGCATTAACACTGGAACGTGTGCATTACTTTCATACTTGAGCCAACATTCCTCCCAGCACATTCAAACCTGTCTGCAGCCACACCTGCATAGATGCAAGACACACCTTGAACCTTCAAAACACACTATTGACTTTACTGGCATGAGATGAGACACTCGTCTAAGACATGGAAAAACACAGACAGGTGGAGACTAGGATATGCATTGGTATACTTCCTCTTCCCCAGTTTATTTACTGCTTTTTATTGTGTATGTATTGCGTCATTGCTACGTGGCTCATTGAACAAGCTCTTTACCTGTTTATAAGTCTGTATTTTGCTGTAATTTCATGATGTTTTCTTAAGAAGGTTGATTGTTAAAAGAATTTTAATTTAGAAAAAGAATGTTCGAAAGATTAGCATACTGTTACTGACCTTTTTCCTCTTCGTTTATTGGCTGTTTTCAATGGAGTGTCTATTATATAATAGAGCAGCTTGAGATTTTACAGTCAGTGTTTGCACACATGCCTTTATTGTAGATGATTTATTCACATATCATATTGCCGTTTTAAAGTCAACATGAATTGCTGATTGCAACTCATTTGACTTTTGTAATGAATATCGGTAAACAGGATATTCATATATACAGTACAAAGGTTTGGTTTGCGGTCGGTGTTTTTGAAATAAGTCTGTTATGCTCACCAAGGCTGAATTTATTTGATCAAAAATACAATGAAAACAATAATAAGGTGTAATATTATTACAATTTAAAACAACTTTTAATATATATATATTATGTTTTATAATTAGACCTGTCACTTTCTAACAAAAAGTGCAAAGTAACAAGTAGAAAAAAGAAAAATGCACAAAGAACTTGTTTGAAGATTTTTCCATCTACAGCTTTTTCCCCAACTTTATTTTTAAGTAAATATAATGGGCGATATATTGCGTCACCAAAATTTATTGAGGTCATGTACATATATTGCGCGATAAGTCGATATATTGATTATTGCGACAGGCCTATTTATAATTTATTCCTGTCCAAAGCTGAATTTCCAGCAGCCATTACTCCACTGTAATAATGCATATTTATCTGAAATCAAATTTTATTTAATAGCAAGTACTGATTATTTAATCACAGTTAGACCAGGAACGATGTATAAAGGGAGTATATAGGTTGCTTTTGAATTTTGTTACTTTTAAAGTGATAGTTCACCGAAAAATTGTTCCAGACCTGTATGAGTTTCTTCTGCTGAACACAAAAGAAAATATTTTGAAGAATGAAGCTCATACAGGTTTTACAACAACTTAAGATTGAGTAAATGATGACTGAATTTTCATTTTTGGGTGAACTATCCCTTTAAGTGTGGTGGATGAAGGGGCAAACCAGGCAGTAACTGAGGACGGGACTTACTACATGCCGCCCTCTACTGGTGGAACAGGGTTAGTAAGAAAGGCAGGTTCCCCTTTACAGCCTTGTTAAAAGCCCTATTTTTTATCTATAATTTTTATAGCAGTGGACCCTACCAGAAGTAGTAGCATGTTGCAGCTTTTCTTTCTCTTTCAAAATGATAGTCTTCTCCGGAAACTGGCTGGTTTTGCCTCATGCACTGATGTTGCACTTAAGTATTAACCACATCCTTGTCAGAGGCAAACCCACACACATGACTAAACTACTGTAACTGAGTTTACTAAACATGTCTTCTGATTGAAGGGAAAATGATAGGGACTGCACTTGTTTGCACCAAGTACTCAGTTCACTGAAAGGTTATGAAAGACGTTATCTTGAAGGAATATCTTAGGTACCATGTTTATTGGTCAGTGACAAATTACTGTCTGAATTGACAAATGTTTTAAAATCTTGTTTAGATACAAATGTTCCAAGTTTGCTATCTTTGGTTTCATATGATTTTGACATATTTTGATTAGTAACTTAAGTGTCAATGGTAATAAATTTCATGTGATATAACCATCATGTAAAATGTAATATCATATTTTGTTTGCACATTGAATACACATGAGTGTAGGCATCTTGATCATTATTTTTATGAATGTTTTCAAACATTTTTAAGACAGGTAAGACCGATTTTAATCTACATTTTTGAGTTATTTTTAGTATGCATTTTGAAGTTTCCTTGGGGTTATTCCTTTTGACATTTCAAGCTGAACTAACTTATTGTGCCATAAAAGGTCATATTGATTTTTCTTAAGACGTGACATACCGTATCATGTGGGTCTACGGGGGTCCTCTCTGTGATGTCATTTCCTGTTTTATGGTTTTGTTGTCATGTAACAAAACGGCCTTCTTGTTGGTTATATTATACTGACATAGTTTGGTGCACATGTTTGTTCAAATATTAGTAATATTTTAGGAGGAGGGGGGGGGGCGTTATAATGAATTTGCCAAATTACTTTAATAAAACTGTAAAAATGTAATTAAGAAATTAAAAATATGACTCTCTAATGCTCACCAAGGCTGCATTTATTTGATACCGTAAAACAGTAATATTGTGAAATATTAATACAATTTAAAATAACTGTTTTCTATTTAAATATATTTTAAAATAGAATTTATTCCTCTGATGCAAAGCTGAATTTTCAGCATCATTCCTCCAGTCTTCAGTGTCACATGATCCTTCAGAAATCATTCTAATATGCAGATTTGCTGCTCAAGAAACCTTTTTTATTACTATCGATGCTGGAAACAGTTTCGCTGCTTAATATTTTTGTGGAAGCCGTGATACATGATTTTCTTTGATGAATGAACTGTTCAAAAGAACAGCATTTATATGAAATAAATGAATTTACTGACCCCAAAACTTTTGAACAGTAGTGTAGTCTTCGTGGTAGAGCGTTGTTTTTAAGCCATTGCTTATGAGACCTACATTTTCTTTTATTTCTTTATTGGAAAATAGAAATGAGCCCCTAATACATGCAGAGATTAGAGCTAAGAAATATTGGTAACACTTTATTTTAAGGTGTCCTTGTTACACGTTACATGTACTTACTATTATAATATCAATTAATTATGCATAATTACATGCATGTAACCCTAAGCCAAAACCTAAACATATAGTAAGTACATGTAGTTAATTAATATTACACAGTACTTAAATGTTTAATTACACTGTAACAAGGACACCTTAAAATAAAGTGTAACCAAAACATTTAAGCAAATTTGCAGATGGTCAGTAAAAGACTGCTCTCTCTATAGGCACAAGTGATCCGTACGTGAAATTCAAGCTGGACGGAAAGACCTTGTACAAGAGCAAAGTGGTGTATAAGAATCTCAATCCTGTCTGGAATGAGTCCTTCTCCTTCCCGATCCGCAGCCTGGACCAGAAACTTTTCATCAAGGTACACGTTTACTTTGCTGTGGCGTACATGCATTAGCTTTCACATCACGCCAAGATACCTACAGGTAGATTAAACCGTCCCATTCGTTGATTGTTCAGGTTTATGATCGAGATCTGACAACGGATGACTTCATGGGGTCCTGCGGTGTTGAGCTGAATAAACTGGAACTTGAAAAGTAGGTCAACTTGAAATGTTCGTATTAAAGGTCAAACCAGAAGTGTGGTTCCTGATGCTTTTGTTCTGTCTGTTGTACAGGAACAGCGAGATGGCGCTTCCATTAGACGACCCCAACAGCCTGGAGGACGATATGGGTGTCATAGTCATCGATATCTGCTTATCTGTGAGGGACGGCAAAAACAAAAAACACGTAAGCAACTTTATGAATTATGAAGCTAACTAACTCGGCTAACTAAATGTTTGCTGCTTATGTATTCACAATATTCATTTCTATTGTGAAGAGATGGGCCCAAAGGAAAAAAAGGAGCCTCACGGTGAGATGGATTAGATTTAAATTACGTCCAATCATTTACCAATTGATTTATTTTTTATTCTAGAGTGGTTGTGTCAGCGCTTTCTCATGAATTTATCCAAACACTTCCTGTAATAATATATTCAAAGCAAGTGATTCACAAACAATGATCCTGCTGGGGCCAGTCTGTATGTTAATCTGCATGCAAATAACACAATGAAGATTAAAACTAGCCTAATTCACAATCAATATAACAGTGGTTCTCAACTTTTTTTTGCACATCAAATGTTTCCTGCTCTCGGCAGCCAATAATTCACCACAGAAAGCACACTGTGGTTGGCACAAACCATTGCAAGCAGCAACTTGTAATTATTATTATTAGTCGGGGTCATGGCTTCTTATATCTTGCATAATGTTTTTCATGGTTTTTGAGAATGAGGCCACAACCTGTCCATGCTGGCATCAGCCTAAAATGACTTGCTTTTACCAAGTGACAGAAATACTGTAGAGTTTAATTGGATTCATGACCTTTGACGTTGTCAAAAAAGTTAATACGTTTATTTATTTAGCTAGATTAACTATGCATGGTTATATCATGCATTTTATTATTTGCACTTACTATTTTTTCTTCCCCTGCTGTCTGAACAGAACTGCAACCCACTAACGATAGTTGAGAACCACTGCAATATAATCCTGAAACTTAACATAAGAGTTCTCAATATCACATTGCTTAAATTGAAATATCATTTCACAATATTACAGTTTGTTGTGAGCATAAGAGACTTCTTTCAAAAACATTTCCATCTACAGACATTTTTAAAAGTAGTTCAAATAGTAGCGGATCAGATAATTTCAAACCATATTTTTAGTAATTAATATGAGGTTTAACAGAAACACAAATACATGTTTGCTTATAAACTTTCAGTGTGTAAACCTGTGTACATTGATTTTTATTTTTTATTATTATTTTTAAAAAAAAGAGAGAGAGACGAGTTTGAAATGATTTTCTGAGGTAAACAACACTATGCCACAAATGCTGTCAATAGAGCTTAAAGCAGCACTATGTAACTTTTGGCGCTCTAGCGGTTAATAAACAGAACTGCACACATCTCGCGGAAGAACATTCCAACCGGAGCTACTTCTCTAAGTTTATGTCTATGGCGATTCACGCAGGTATGTGTTACTCCGCAGCGGTGACGACCCGACTACAATAGTCCAAATATAAATACTTATTATAAGTTTACCGTAGTGATTCGGAATAAGACAAAAACGCGATTTGGAAGATGAATTCATGATGTACTCGCTCATTATATACATTTTGCAAATTTTGAACACAGTAAAAGTTACATAGTGCTGCTTTAACTGAATCAAACCTAGAACATTCAACTGAAAAGACTTTCTCAGGGAAATAATTTCCTGTTTGTAAAGATGTCTTGCTGGGTTTGTGTTCAAGGCCTTGTGTGTCTGTGCACATTGCAGGTGTGAGATCGACTTGTCTGGGTTGCCATTGAATGAATCCACACGGTTTACATGTGAGCTGGACCCGGGCCGAGGCAGGGTGGTGTTCCTCGTCACTCCCATTCCCTGCACTGGAGCTTCCATCACGGATCTCGTCGCCCCTCCGCTGGAAGAGCCTCATGAGAGACAAAATATGCTGGTTAAATATGTATGTTAAACTGATTACTGATTACCACAGTGCTTCCTTGTGTATACTGCATACTAGTGCTGGGCGGTATGACCAAAAATGTATATCACGGTATTTTTTTTAATTATACCGGTTTCACGGTACATGACGGTATTTTTTTTCATGCATGACCGGTTGTTAACCATATTTTCTACTGATTGAGAGAGGAAATACTGCAGTATATTGACTTAGAATGCCCTATTTTACTGTCAGGATGAGTGAATATTGTCAAAAAATACCACACTAAATAGTGACTAAACACGACCCCTTTTATTCAACAACAAACTTTTACAGAATTTTAATATTGTTCATAGTGCTGGGCAGTAACACGACCCCTTTTAATACATGTTAACCAGGAGTCACTCTTATTTATAATCGCGGCATCGTCTGATAAAATCAGCATGCATCTACACTAAAGAGCGGCTATGCGGTTGTTTTTTTGCTATATTACTTTTTTGTCTCATGCAGCGCACTGCCTGCGTCTGAGTAACAAACTAAAAAAAACAACAAACAAAAAAAGTTCATGCCATATTAACAGACGAACTACGCTCATATTTATAATTCCAAACAATC